CCCCCCCCCCCTCTTGCTCCGGTAGTCTTCCCACCCTATACCCAACGCTGGTAGCACCCTAAACCCCAATACCCACCTCCACCAGCCTTTCTCATACCAACACAGGTAAACTCCTAAGCCCCACTTCGCACGCAACCATTGGATCTAGTAGTAGTAATGTGTGTGTGTGTGTGTGTGTGTGTATATAAGAATCAGAGGAAGGAGAGAGTTGGGTTTAACCAATAGAAGCAATTCAGTTGTTCGAGGGTGGTGGGTGTGGCTAGTTTTCACCGGAAGAGGGAGGGGAGTTGAGATTTCGCTGGTGCAGGTTAGGGTCAAACTGAATTTTATTTTTTTCTATACAAAAGATTGAGATATGGGAAGTTTTGTACTTTTGATCAATTTTAGATAATTTTAATATCAAATTTCTATCATTTTTAACGGTGTCAAATAACGAATGAGCTAATTAAAAAATATTCAAACATTAAGGGGGTAAATTGTCAAATTTAAAACTGAGAGAATTGAGTGTAACATGACCCAAACTTGGAGGGGATATTTTATAATTAATCCTTTAATATAACATCGTACTATTATTGGAAATTAATATAAAATTAATGAATTAAAATTGATCATTTTTTAACGCAACACGTTAATATTAATAATAAATGAATTTAATTAGTATTAAATACAAATAACATAAAATTGATATGATTAATATGTTTAAATAGTATTATAAGAATAAAATATTAATTTTTATTATATTTTATCAAATAGTAACTTAATTATTGTACAACAAATTATATTTTTATTTATTTATATTATTATATTTATTAAATTAATTTTTAATTTATAAAAATTATTAGTATAGGACAAACACAAAATAACATGACTCGACATAAACTTGATTTGACACGGTACGATTACCGTCCATAATGGGAGTGGATAATGGGTAGAGTTACCTATCAATAGCCTGTGTTTGCCTGTGGATTGGGCTTTTAGTAGTTAATGGGTTAATTCCGGTCTCCATCGTAAATTGGAGTGCTCACACTGAAATAAAAATGGAAAATTGTGAGTAGGTATACTATATATTACTTATTTGTGGGAAAATACCATATAAATTTTCTTTTGTATATAAGGTTTTTTTTTAGGAATGTGTTTTGAGTAGATACACATTGACTATTTTTTAAATATTTTGTTAAAATTGGCGCTAAGTCCTCCTTAAGGGACTTACAATAAGTTTAGTTCGTCCAATAAACTTATTTGCGGGTAAGTCCGTTTTTAATTTTTCTAATAAGTAGTTAAATTTACTATTTTTTTTTTAAACTCTAAAATGTTCTTCTAATGACTTAAAAAATAATCTTTAACATTAAATCAGTTTCCTAAATAGTCATCCTTAATTTATACTTAATAGAAGATTTTTTCCCATAAAATTTAAAATTCAAATTTAAATTTAACATCACTACAATTTCTCTCTCTCTCTCTCTCTCTCTCTCTCTCTCTCTCTCTCTCTCTCTCTCTCTCTCTCTCTTTCTCTCTCTCTCTCTCAGTTTGCTATGAAGACTATGGTTAATTTAATATTGAATGTTACTATGCATGTTACTATTTTT